AGCTATTTTTTATTCATTTAAACGTGGTCTCTTTTCTGGCTGTTGAAGATCAGTTCCATCGCTACCATTGCTAGTGTTCTCTCCATCTTTCATTGTCCTTGTATCAAGAAAGTCTTTAAGTCCATTAAGTGCTTTCCGTCTGTGAGATATAGAGTTCTTCAAACTTGTCTCCATCTCGGCATATGTCTCTGAAAAACCGGCTGGTTGGAATATAGGATCCCAACCAAACTTATGAGGACCTCTGGCTTCTACAATAGTACCCTACAAGGAAAGATGTGAAAAGAGAGAAAATATTGAAAGTTAATACAGTGAAACCTGCTATTGTGGACACTCTAAAATAAGGACACCTCTATAATAAGGACAGTTTTATTTGGTCCCAAGGTATCCGGAATAGACAGGTTTGACTGTACATATAAGAAACAGAGCTATAACTAACATCAGTTTTCCCTCTGAATAGTTTCACATCTTTACCAGGTCCTTCACAATATGCAATAGTGCATAAAGCATATGCAGTCTTGTCATCGTATCCACACAGCAACTGATTCAAGCCTAGAGCAAAAAATATTGGAATGCCACAATGAATATCATAAACACCTTTATGTCCTAGTTTCTGTAAAAACCATTTTCTGCATAAACAAATAAATAAATACATTTTATCTTTTAAATGTAGAGTTCATTCTCCCTCCCTCTTCTCGCTCACATGTAAGGTCCTGGTAATCCCTTCAATGCATTGTAGCAGAGGCAAGTGTCTTCAACAATTACGGGAGATTTTATCTATTGTCAAGTATTCATTCACTTAATTATACCCTGATGTATTAAATATTAACCTTTTCCACTGCCATTTGACATTTGTCACGCGCTATATCATCAGGCTCACCTTGCAGCTCTGGCACTATTAAATAAAAAATAAAAATAAAGAAAAAATAATTAGATCTATTTACAATCAACATCATTAGATATCAGCTTCCATGGAGTATTTTCACCTATTATAGCCACCACCTGAAGAAACTGAATATATTAAATTATAAAGAAGACACTCACCTCTTCTAGTTTTCTAGGATTGCCAGTTACAAATGTAAGCACTCGCTTGCTCGCCATGTGTAAGCAAATGGCATGGTGCAAAATAACGAGCCACACCCACATCCCATTTCATAACTAATTTTTACAGAAAGTGATTAAATTAATAAATCATTAGTTTCAATTTCTCTATACATCCATTGATTCTTCTTTATGACTGAACTGGTCAATTTCTGGAGGTTTCTTCATCCAGAGCCCAAACCCTTTCTCCATGCAATACTTGTGAAGCAATCCTTTAGTCTCCTGGTAAGCAACAGCAAGGCTCTTAGCTTCAGCATAGCTCTGGACACGGAGATGGTCAGTATGGCCACTGACAGAGGAGAGGGAGAGGAACTCGTTAAAGAGGTTGCTCTTTGATAATTGAGAGGTGCCAGGGGACACAGGCGGGGAAGAAGAGGAGGAGGTGGGACGTCCTGTAGTCCCGTCATTCAGCTCTGGTTTATCGTCGTTTATTACCCAATTCATTGATAAATTACTTGTCTTCTCTGTATGTCTTGGCATATCGTCCCCACCTTTCACTCTTCCAAGGAGAGGATGGTTGACCTTATAAGGAGGCTGTAGGTATGGGCCAAGATCATGGAAACGACAGCAGACGGCACGAGAGAGGTGACCGTGGTGATGTAAACTGCCGAGAGATAAAGAGAAGAGATAGACAGGCTCCACAAAGAGACTGAGGAGACTTCCTTGAAGTCCTAGTACGTTCCAGCTGCCAATCTTATCACTGCACGACATTGTTCTAAGCCTGCCTCCTTGAATGATACCATCCCACGTCTGTGGTTGGGTCTCTGGCCCAATCGGTATGGTCCCTTCTCCTCCCTCCATCTTGGTTCTGAGGACGCCTTGGGATTTACCGTTATTAGTGGGGACGTGGGGTGAGCCTGGGGGAGGAGGCAATCGGTTATCGTTGTCCAGTCTTGAGAACTGGGCCCCATCACCACAAGGTGCAGTAGATATGTACAAGTGAAATTTTATGCTTTTCTTTACTCTCAAAGTCAGCTCCTTGCCATCTTCATTTGCTTCAAAAATCGTCTCAACGTCATCCCCTCCGTCATAATAGACCTGGAGCTCTTGGTAAAGGAACATTTTAAGACCACGTCGAGCAATAATCTCAGCATGAGAATCAAATACGACCTCACCTTTAAGATCCAATAGGTCGCCCGAGGCTGTTCTCGTTCCAGTACCAAACGAAACAACCTCGAGCTGTCCAGTCTCGGAGTCCTCCATAATAAAGCAAGCCATGACTTTACGACCTGGCTGGGGCAAGCCAAGAGCTATTTCCAACCTTGTGTGTAGTGAATGAGCTACACTGTCAATATGATCGTGAAAAGTTAGTTCAGTGTCTTTGCCAGCTCTTTCCTCTTCCTCCTCTCCCTCGGCAGACGGAGTCGTATCTACAAACCAAGTAAGACCAGTGCTTTCTTTTTTGCCCACGACAATGCAAGCACGAATTCTCTGCAAGGCCAGTTCTGCTGCCATTCTTCTTCCCTCTTTCTTGGTCGTTGCATCAGCTTCGGCATAAAATGGAGGACAAGAAGCAGCAATGGTAAATGTCCTAGAGTGATCTGGACCATGCTCCCTGACTACAGAGAGAGAGAAAGCAAGCTTTTCTATTTGACAGAATTCTGACAGGATTGATATCGGATTGCGAGTCAGTTTTTTGACAAGAGCAGCAGCTGCAGGAGAGCACGTGTATGGCTCTAAGGGAAAAGGAGGAGCAGAGGAAAAGGGATCAGGAACATGAGGAGGAGGAGGGAGAGAAGGAGGAGGGAGAGAAGGAGGAGGGAGAGAAGGAGGAGGGAGAGAAGGAGGAGGGAGAGAAGGGGGAGGGAGAGAAGGGGGAGGGAGAGAAGGGGGAGGAAGAGAAGGAGGAGGGAGAGAAGGTGAAATGATTTCAACGTTATTTTGAGACTGAGCGAAAGAGGACGAGTTAGGACGAGGAGCTACAGCTGATAACGAAATAGACACATTGCGACCTAAAGACTGTAAAAAAATAAAAAGTGTTTAAGCAATACAAATACAAAAACATACAAATAAACACGCATACACATACCTGAGGCCCTGGACCATGCCTTGTATTAGTCATTATAGGTCTCATTGCTCCTCTGCCCACTGGTGGAGGGTTAGTTTGCTTCATGATCCAAACTGGAGGACCTATTCCTTTAAAACAACGTACCAATCCCTCACTCTCCAAAGCATAGAGAATGGCATTAACATCATGACGTGACATACCTAATGAAGGATAGAAAGAAATGGACAAATAGAAGGGGAGGTATTATATAAAAGGTAAAAGTAGTCTTTTCTAAATTACCTAAGTCATATGCTATGGAAGCTGCCTTCTTCTCCTCAGAACAGGTTGAGAGGTATTGCAAAATGAGAGAGCGTGATTCATTAGTTTGAGTGTCAGAAGAGAAACTTTTGAAACCTGATGATGATGATGATGGGGCATTGAAATGCTCTTGAGGAGGAAGAGGGGGTAAATGGTTAGCGGTATAAGGTTTAGAAGAGGCAAAGGAGGAGGGAGGAGAGAGTACAGGTGGTTGTTTAAACGATGGAGGAGATAAATTGGAGGGAGGAACTGATTTTCTTGTTACATTAACAGGCGATTGCTGAGGTGGCTGTGGTGGCGATTTAAAGCTATTTGATTGTCTCTTTGATCTTGTGTTATAACCATGTGACATTATCTTGGGGTTTGGACTTGGGCCTGCCCTTTCCGGCCTTGACGCCAGTTCCCATAATATCGGACCCTTAGACTGAAAAACCTTACGTAAAATCCCCTCCTTTTCCATTAACATGAGGTCGGGATTGATAGCAGATGCTCCTCTTAATCCAATCTCACTTGCTACCTCAGTTGCTGTACGAGGGTTACTACTGTGTATTAGTACTTCGAGTATTTCGGATTGGTGAGCAGGAGAAGCCCCACCCCCAGAAACGCCCACTGGAGCCGCAGCACTATTATATGCATCTTTTTTAGGAGTCGATCCACTCCTTTGATCAGGGGCATAAGTAACAAAGGATATCCAAGTAGGCGGAGACTCTTTTACTCTCTCTATGAATTTCTCCCTCTCAAGCATGTAGAGTACTCGATTAACGTCACGACGCATGTATCCCGAGCCGAGGAAACGCATAACATCATTAGTAGTGTATGGAGTTTGCAGCTGGGTATTAGGAGAGAACAAAATATTCTGAATTTTAGTGGAAAGAGTATCCTCGGCCGCCATTTTGTTGTGCTCACGTGGTCGGTTTATGAATAGGTGTGTTCAATGGTTAATAAACTAACCTTAATAATAAGATGGCGTCTTTGATGAAGCTCCTGCAAAAGCAGCCTCATTCTTTCTCTCTTTTGTCTTCTACCATGAGGAGCTACAGCAATGAGCCTCTATATGATCTAGTGATAGTAGGAGGAGGAATGGTTGGTCAGGCACTTGCTGTCTGTGTAGGTAAGAGAGAGATAGTAGGGGAGAGTGATTGTCGATTCTTAACAGGTCAAACTCCTGCAATGTCTAATGCAAGAGTCCTCCTAT